AATTTTAACTAGGATTACTTTAAGCACAGTATATAATTGTTAAAACATTTAGATACGACATCATTGGGTGCTCACAGTGCTGCTTTATCTGATCATATGAGCAACCACAGCATATTTTTCTAGCTGCATATGCCAATCTGTTTATCTAGGCGTGTGCCGTGTGGCCTAGGTTGTTCCAGCAACCTGGGCACAGAGCATGCTGGGCACAGCAGGCTAATGAGAGCCTTCTTAATAAGGAGGTCCAGGTGGATTCATGTATCATCCCTGTGCCCCCGAGAAGCAACTGGATTTACTCACCTATGAAAAATGGTCATGCATTTGAAATTGTTGGAGGCCTTCTCTTTTTTTACCCATTCTAAAAAGCCCTTGTTGAACATAATTAATCTGTGTAATTAATCACCCGATACAAGACATTTCTGGATGTGTAAGGCAGATCTGTAATAAACCATCTGTTCCTGGGGTCATTAATCAGCCTAGGATTTGCTGAACCTTTCTTCTACTCACTGCAGCACAAACAAGACACTAAGGGTGTACTCACACTAGGTGACCCATACCGTGCCCAAGCACATTTGACCCCCAGAGTCCAGTTGGAGCTGGAGTGATCGCTCAGTGCCATGTTTAGGTAAGGTTCAGCATACCGTGCCTTGGTCTGCTTGAAGAGTTTGGCCCGGCACAGTTCGGTTGGACTCGGGCACAGTACACGTAGTGTGATTGCTGGATCTGAATGTCTTCTTTATTTGACATGTTCAGTGGTAAATGGATTGTACTTTTTTTAGCGCTCTTCTAGTGAGGCACTCAAAACGCATTACAATACTTGCTCATTCACCTGTTCACACTCTGATAGTGGCAGAGCTGCCATACAAGACCACCAGAAGCAACTTGGGGTTCAGTGTCTTGCCCAAAGACACTTAACATGTGGACTGGACCTGTTGTCCTTCCTGAGCCATAGCTGTGTTCAATACCACCTTAATTTTGGGTGTATCAACCTGAAAGGCCGAAGGGAGAGCGTATGCTTGAGAATCTGTTTTGGGGTACTGACAGAGATTGTGCTGTTGTTTATTCCCTTGCAGAGTATAGCCGCTTTGAGTCCAAGATCCACGACCTGAGGGAGCAGATGATGAACAGCAGCATGAGCTCAGGATCAGGTTCCCTGCGCACCAGTGAGAAACGCTCCCTCTATGTCAGGTAGGGCTGTTGCTAATGATTATTTTTCTGTCGAATAATCTAACGATCATTTTTTCGATTAGTCAAATAATCGTTATATATATATAT